ATCTGTTGGCAGAAATGTAATATAATATTCATAGGTATGTTTTCATTAGTGTATAACCACTTGAATATAGGAGCTGTTACCTTAGAATGAGCTGTTTTTTTATCTACAGACTCTGTGGGTCGCCTTCCATATAGTCCACCATATTTCTACAGTAGCAAGTTTCACTGCCACTGTAGTTTGTTTAATTAAGTGCAATCTGCAAATTCACTGCGAGAGGTCACTAAATCCTACACACTGATCCTTTAAGTCTCTTTCTGTTAATATATCAGTCCCTCCAGGAAGTTGTGATGTTATGATAGCAATAATTTACACAAATTCAACCAATCCCTGCATATTCTGCGCAACCGTGCAATGTTGTCCAATCATTGTAGTTTCCTGTGCAAAAACCTCCTGAGCCATAAGTCACCAAAGTCACTGTATTGTTTCAGTGTGATTTTATTCTCACTCGATGTTATTCTCACTCGAACAAGTTGCAAAAAAAAATTACAACATGCATCAGAATTCTAACAATCCAGAAAAAGCCTGTGAAATCCTGCAGGGACTGATTTATATCTAACTACAAAACTCTTCCTCACATGTGGCTCAAAGGCACAAATGTTGAAACCTAATAAAAGTTGTTGTTACATTGGGAATCTTATCAGTGGTTTTGAACTTTTTTGGGTGTTAAGGAACCATAAATTGATACACATTAGGCCTCAGACCCGTCTTTGATAAGATATAGTCTCAAAGGTTCCCTGTCTGATAAGATTTAGTTAATCCATAACTGTCTATACGGGCAGTTTAACAGTGAAGAGTGTGAAACCTATGAATAAAATAGTCATTATCACACACTCTCTCACTCAATTAAAGTATGGTCAAATTTAAATATTCCACATTTTTCTGGGGACCCATTGGAACCCCCTTAAGGACCCCTTGGGGTCCCCAGACCACAGGTCGAGAAACACTGCTTTATATTTAACCCATGTGTTTTGTTGACATTGGCTTTTCTTCCTCACCGTTGCGCGACTGTATGCGTAATAAAACTAACAATGGTTCAATCGGCCATTTTTCCTTGAAAATATTTTTCTTTTTCTTCTGATGCTATTAAAACCCAGTATGTAGAAAATGAAAGTGGTAACCTTCCTCTTTGATACAGACTCATTTGATGAAGAAAAGACTGAAACGCACAGGCGACATTTCATTACACCGAGTAAGGAAAATGGTTCATCTTTTTTATGTTATGTGCGATGTATGAAGCTGTCTAACACAATGGTTCCTAACCTTTTTATTCTTCAGGGAATCATTGTCATTGAGTAAACTGACGACCTCGGACTATGTGACATATTTTATTGATAATTCATATTACATTCAGAGTAAGGTTAATTCAGTGTAATGTCTATTCAGTGTTTTAATATAAAAAAATAAAAAAAATAATAATTTAATTTTAAATTTACATTACATTACATTCAAATAGTGAAGTTTGTGTAAAACAACAGATTATTTCCCGTGAATATTCTATCAGAGATGAGTTTTCCTGATATTTTTAGGAACTTTTTATTCAATTTTCTATCAGTTTTTTTGTTTTGTTTTTAACTGTGTAACTCTAGTGCAGGGCAAGGTTGTATAGCTGAGAATGAAGGCTCTGTTAATTCAGCTTATGTCCAGGTCTTCAAAGTTTAAATCTGTAATCTAAACATAAAACTAAAACTAAATTAAAGTAAAAAATAACTGTTTATCAGTTGTTAAGATGGCCTCGCAACCCCCTGTGAAGCTTTGGTGACCCCTAGTGGGGGTCCCAACCTCATGAACATACCCTAACCAAAGTGTTTTTTGAGCCTAAACTTCACCAAACCTTAACCACAGTCTTGTAATATCAAAAAACGATTGTTGAATCTCAACTAATAATCTGTAGGCAGTTTATCCATATACAGTGTAACACCTGAAGGAAATTTTTAGAGTCAATTAAAACCCAGAGAGATGTAATTCCCTTCTTCAGATGGAAAGCTTTTAGAAAACCTTAATAAAACAGAAATCCAAATGGACTAATTTGTGAATGAACACCAATCTATATCTATATAATATTCAGGGTAAATGCATGAATCTGGTGCTTTATCATCAGTCACTTACTGAACAACCATCACTTATTAAAACCAGCAAATAAATCTGCTACAGAGTAGCCGTGGGCCTCATGTGTAAACCAAACTACCTCTTAACTGGCCGGGATGAATTGTCCTTTGGCTGACTGGTGAATTGATTTCCAGTGTAATGGTTCTGAGCTGCCTGGTGTGCAGGGTGTCCAGCTCAGACTGATTCCTCAGCAAAGGTGCACAGACAGCTGGGCTGCTCTGCCTCAGATTCAGGGGGAGGTTAAATATTTCTCTTGGCCTGCTACCATGATTCCCCCTTTGGCTGGCAGATAAAATGTTTGATGACCTAGGTGGAGGGTGTGTGATTAAAGATGGATGCATAGGGATATATAGGGCTCAGTGGTTGGAGCTGCGTGCACCGACAGAGGAAGCTTGACAAAATATGCTTCAAAGTGCATCGCAGATTTCTCCTGCTGTTTGATTTGAAGCATTTTGTGATTGGTAACGCTCTTTCATGTTCGCAGAACATTTAGTATTATTTGGTAAACCGTTTTGAATCAGGCAGGAGTGAGGTGTGTGAGAATTGCATGCTGAGAATGGAGAGAGAAAACAGTTAACCTGGAGCACTTGCCGGTGCTGACATGACACTAAAACACCCAATTAACATTTGCAGCTGGCTGTGATTCAGCCACATGAGAGGGATCTCCATTTACATACTGAATCAGAATGCATGCAACAGGCTCCAGCGGTAACAACATGCTGTGTTCTGCAAAATAGGATGGTGGATTCTAGTTGTTCCTCTTTCCCACAGAGACCTGAACTATTTCACCATTGGCTCAGGGTGTTTTTCCTCACGTCTCTAAAGACACTTTTCTTAAGACACATTGCTTCCTCATCCCTGGCACAGTCGGTGACATTTGGGCTCCGGGGAACAATAATTATCCTGTTTGGATAATTGCATCTTTTACAAATATGCTTTCAGTGCGGTCACAATTCATATCACACCACTAATCTATATTCTGTGACAATGTGGCTAAGGAAAAGCTGCCAAGAGACCAGCCTGAATGTGACTATCAATCTCATAAAGGAAGAGTGCTGATCTATTAAGTTGTGCAGTCCATCATCATCTACAGAACAAAACTTAACAGAAGATTCAAACCCACTTACACAAACACCTGCAGAAAGATGCTCATATCTGCTTCCACTAACCAAATTAAAGTTATTCAGCAAAGGTTACTCCGTGTTTGGGTCAATAGTGGAGCAAATCAATTCAGTAAGCTTGTTATTTACCAGTTAACTGAAGGTTTATATAATTCAACCTGCATATTTAACGATATACTTAACGTGGCCAATCGATTTTATTTTCAGGGCAGGTTAGTAAGTGCTCAGCCAGAGGGATGGAGAGTGTGTGTGGGTTGGCTCTCGCTGCTCATACTGAAGAAGTCAGCAGCCTTGAAATAGGGAGCAAAAAGGCTTGATGGCGTTAGAGAACTGTTGTAACCACAATACCTTCTGAAACTGAATCTGAGAGCTTGCAGTCAAAGGTGAAATGGTACAAATCTATTTTATCCTGCAGAAGTGCAGACAATCTAAGGATGCAGCTACCAGACATCTTGTGGGTAAAACGTGGAGCTAAATGTACAAGTTGATGACAGTTTACCTGACACTGGGTTTTCGGGGACCCACTTGGATCCCGGATGCAGAGAGTGAAACACTGTGCGCACCTCCTGGCAGTTTGGCACCTGTCCGCCGAGCAGGGAGAACAGCTGGAGGAAGGCGCACAGAAAGAGCGCACTGTGGACTGATGGACCGACCATGGCAGGCGAGCAGCACTGAGCCAAACCGGAGAGAATAAAAGATAAAAGTTCAACACATTCAAAGTTACAGGAGGATCCCGTGTTTGCGCTGATGAAGTGAAGCTGCAGCTCCCGGCTCAGCTCGGATCAGCATCCTTCCGCTTCCACCCCCTCCTCCTGCTCGCAACAACACTCCGCCCGCCTGGAAAGCTGCTCGGTTAAGCCTCTTGGTGAAGCTACTCCGATGCTGATAACTTATGAGTCCCTCTCCACTTGCGGCACTGACTCTCAGCTCTCTGCACAGACGAACGAGCCCCAGATACATGCGCGCGCTCCCCAACAAAAGCGCGCCACGGCGTGGACCTGCGCGTAAAGAGATCCTCTGCCCTCTCGTGTAATAGTACACTGATGTGAGCTGATACATTGGCTCTGTGCGGCTGCAGGAGTGGAGATATAAGGAGGGGATTAATGCAGGGCACGAGCTGTTGTCGTGTTAGATGAATGGCGCTATATGTTATGGGATGCAATTAGGGCACAGTACCTGTGTAGTTTAGTATTCGCACAACAGAGGCGCGTAATGTGGCCAGGAGATGCACATATATTACAATGTAAATGACACAAAGGCAACGGATGTGAAAATTAGCTTTTATTATTCAACCATATGGAGGAAACTGTACAGAGAGCAAGTGAAACACTCAGAAATCACTAAAAACACAACAAAAGTTAACATTCTTCAATAATTACATACATCTACTTCTATAACATATAGATATTATATATATATATATATATTACAATGCTTATTTCATCTTCTCATCTTGAGTGGACATTTATTTCTCTTACATCCAGCTCCAAAGAGGCAATAAAGTTGAAATGGTGCCACCTAGTGTTCAGTGTGCATGTCAGACACCAGAGAGGGCAACATTTGTTAACTCATCCTCTCTGCAGGCTGAACAAAGTCAGGCAAGAGCACATACATCAAAACGATGTGTCTACTATGTTTACACACAGATTAGTGCAATCTAATAAGTGTGTAGCTGCTTACAACATCTGGCGGATTGCAGATGGATACTGTGCAATTTCTTTTTATTTTGTCAAGTACTGAAATTGTGAAGTCATCCACCTGTAAACAGCAAGACAAACTGCAACGTCAAATAAACTTACTGTTGAGATGCCTTAACATGACTGCAACAGAGAGGGGAGGGAAAAAAAAACAGCTGCTCTCTTGTGCCTGCGGTGAATACACTTTTTTGTGTTTTAGTGTTCATCAAAGCTTGGAACAACAGAAAGCAAAACCCATATCTTTTCCTTTGGCTGCATGTCTGAGAAACAGAGAGCTTTGCATGGATTTGCACAGCAGAGACTGGCAGAAGCTGAGAGCAAACCAACAAAACTCGCTGTAAAACCCACCAGAGCTCCACCTTCAAGTATAAAAAGGCTGATGAATGAGGTAAGGTGACCAGCAGTACCTGAAGTGCACAAACTGCAGTAGATCAGTGTGCACTACCTGCACTGTGAGCACTTTGGAACTGCAAAGTCGACAACACGTTCGGCTTGAGAGTCAGAAAGTCATGAGTCACTGAAGATGTATGGAGGAAAAGATCTGTGCACAAACACGCTGATAAATCCTAGACGGCAATTTATTCACCTTCCTGATTATGTAACAAGATATTCAAATGATAAATATACAAGCCTAACTTACATAACTAAACCATATTAGTATTCTAAGAAAGACATGAGGTTTTTCATCACAGAGATAAAGTTGTTTTCGGGGCAAACGTTGTGAAAAATATTTCCGACCCTAATGAAGAACAAGCCCTCCAGCCAGAAGGAGCAACTAGGGTAGTAGATATGAACTACTTCAATAACTACACTAGATGCACCTTAGCTGGAGGACCATAAGAGAGGCCGGGGGATGTTGGAGGAGACCGACCAAGTACTGGATTACTGCCAACTCCTCCGGGCAGGACACTGAAACAGAACAAAATAGCGACAAATGAAGAGAAACATTTAAACTGATTCTATAACTCATTACTGGAGAATGAATAGATGCTTTCCAAGCTGCAGCCGTGTGACGGTGTTACAATCAGGGATGTACTCAAAGATAAACCAAACTTCTACTTACACATACATGACAAACATTAAAAAATCCTTTAAAAAGATGCAATGATCATAGACCAACAAAGTCTTCAAAAATGTTCCGAATACATAAATAAATGGAATTTTGTAGGACCATGCAGACATGTGCAGTATACAAATTGATCTATATTCAACTTAAAGCTGACAGTGATGGAAAACAATCCCTTTCTTAAGTAGTAAATATTCTTAAAAAAAACTCACATTGCATTCACATTGGTACTAAGTAAAAGTACAGTTTATTGTTGGCTAAATGTATTTAAAACATAAAAAGGAGAGTTATAACTGAGTATTGTTGTTTTCAGATAAATGTAGTGGAGTTAAAAGTACAATATCCCCACTGAATTAAAAGTATAAAGTAACATAAACTGGTAAATAGTTAAGTAGGCCTACAAGAGCCTGAAAATTGTACTAATAAATGACTAATTGTGCTTCGTTAAACCCTCCACAGGTTTCACTGGTTGTCCACGCGAAGCACACACGAGGTCGAGTTTAAACTTTGAGGCTCCATCTTCAAAAAACACGAACACAGAGTTACAATATCACAAATATGTTTATATATTTTTGTCTATAATCTTCTATCTTTAAGTGGAGGCCGTATTCACTGAGTTATAGTGAGTTTGTTAAACGGGCTCGTGTGCAGCTTTAATGAAGTGGCGCCAACGGAGTCTCGTGATGTGACGATGCGCGTGTCAACTCCCGTCAATTAAATAATGGATCTGAATGGCAATCACATCCGCGTTTATTCAATTACGTAACTAATACAAACCGTGGCAGCTGGTCAACAGTGGGTGGTGGGTTTGCGACTCTTTGCGGATTATTAAAATAGATCCTGCATGAGCGCAATGTGCCAATACACCCAACAAAGACCTGAACAAATCTAATTTAAGTAAACAACCATTTAAGCTATTGTAACTCTTAAAGGTACAGATTAGGTCGACATTAAGTTTAACTATTACGATTTAAAAAGAAAAAACTGCAGAATATGCATTAAGATTAGCGCACAAGACGTGTTGCACATGCGCCCTCTGTTTTCCTTTAACTCCTCCTCACTACGATAAAGCGAAATAACCCAAAAAACAACATTTCTGCACATAATTCAAACTTTCAGAAACGGAAACAAACACTCCTGAAGCATAATGACCACATGCGTTAATCTGCCACTGAATAAAGAGGGGAGAGCTGCAGACAGCCTACCTTTGGTTTGTGTTGAGGTTTGTTCAACTGAACGATTTGCTACCCATCATGCAGAAAACAGACTCCCAATATCGCTACACGTACCTTATCCCGCAGATGTTGTCCCCTCTGCAGCCCTCTTTGCCACCCCTTTGCACAAACAAAAAGTTCTGTCATGCATGAAATTGTGACAGCATCTTTTTTGTTGTTTTTCTCTTTGTGGGGGTGGGGAGAGGGGCGCAGGCGAGGCAATGTTTTGCGGATGTCGTCCTTGAAATCCTCTCACAAACATGGGATTCCTCGGGGTTTTTTTTTTTGGCATCAAATGGAGACTTTTCTTCTTCTGTGGCATCCCTCCTCACCTTAAAAACTTACTTGTTTTCCTCCTGCAAACTCTGCAAATGTGCACAGTGCAGTGCGGATAGTTTTATTAACCCACCTCGCTCATCCATCCAGCGCTTTTTGCTGGTCAAAGAAACGCAGGAGGCTTGTGACCTTTAACCCGTGTAAACCCTGCCCCCACATTGTCTTCTGCTCTGTCTACAGGACGATGTCCCTCCACCGTCCCGCCTCATATGCGGACAAATATCACTCAGTAACATTGTTGTTTTTTTGTGTGTGCGCCAGTGAAGTTTACGCAGAGCCTAACTAACGAGGCTGAGAGGCACAGATGCTTTCCAGAGGCATGGTGGCACTTCTTCCACTGTGGGAACGGGCTGCAGCGTTGCCTTACATGCCTTCTTCCCCGATTGAACTTTAACCTACTTTCCCATACTGCTTATATAGGCTGCGATTCGTGGCGTTTAAAGGGGAAAGAACATTGCAGCTGAACCCCTCTTTTTCTTTCATGTCCTTCAATATGTTTGGTCTCATGAAGCCTGCCAGCGATAGAGGAAGAGGGTTAATTATGGTCAAGGATCATTTTGAGCTCATTTAAAGAAAACTGGGGTTAGTTCATGGGTGGAAGATTATTTTGCATTATGAATTCAGTTGTTAAATTAAAAAAAGCTGGGTCTGGTGGAGTCATAATGATGTTGGTTTTAGTAATTTTGCATGCATTATAATTGACCTCCACACAGACAATAGGCCTGCCAGTCTATTGAACAGGCCTCTGGATACCTCCTGGTAGGGTGGAATGTGTCCCAGTGTTTTGAACTGGGCTGACACTGCTGCTCCACACTCAGTTACTACTGGGAGGAGGGGGTTATTTTTAGCAATACTCATCTGCGCCACTGGATAAATGAGTTTGACAAGATGTAAGCAGTGACTGACCTTGTCCAGAATGATGTTCTGGAGATAAAACATTTCAATGTATTACATTGCGATCATATTTAACATCATATATTTGAACTTTGTTTATAAGTTGCTTATCATCTGAAAAAAGGTCTATATACACTATATTACTGACTGCAGGGCTATTTAAATGGTTTATTGAATTCTCAACATGTTGCAGAGGAACTACAGCCCAAAGTACCGCAGCAACTTACTAAATGTATCTTTTGATTATTATTTGATTCATCATTTAAGTCTATAAAAAGGTCCGAAACACTACAAAAAATGCCCAACGGAATTAGCCAAATCCTAAGGTGCTATATTCAAATTGTTCTGTATCCAACTAATCCAGAAGTAAATTTAGATTCTGTTACATATACTGTTCCCAAAGGTCAAGAATGACCTTCACTTCTCAACAATATTCAGATTGCAAGCATATAAAACAGCAGCAAATCCTCTGAGTAACCATCATCAGCTGGCAATTAAATGTCATCAGTTACAACGATTAGGTTGTTTTTCCCCAGCAGAAGCAACAAAACAGTACAGTACACTGAACTGTTGGAAACCACACAAAATAAATTGCCATAAAGTTTTATTTTCATGAATGCTTTCACACTTTTATCCTTTATAAAGTTATGTACACATAATTTGCCCCCATGGAAAATAAAGAAAATATCCAGAGAGTGGAAAGAGAAGGAAAAAGAAAAAGGCAACGGAGTAAAAAAAAAAAAAAAAGTAAAGCACAACAAATATTTAAACGTAAAACTCTAAATCATGAAATATATTGATCTTAAGGAATTTGTGTTGATGTCTACATAATATTGCCAGTGATTCATATAGTCATAATTAGAGGTAGGGTTATAGAAACATAAAATGCTTTGTTTGTACAACTAATACAAGGTGCCAATTGTTGCCAACAGCTCCCTCTGATGGGACGACTGTGTAAAGCATGTCCTTCTCAAAGTGCACGTCATGGACTCAAATTTCAAGAAAAGCTTGAATGCACACCTAACACACCAAATGTTAAGAATATTTTTGGACCATTTCTTTTTTAAAATGTGTGTCATTTTGTTACACAACAGTACAATAACGTTGGATATTATTACCGAGCACAGTCTATTATGAAACCTCAGTTTGTGCTCGTGGAGATCTTAATAATGACTACTATCCATGTGATTTAAGTCCAATGCATTCGTATAGTTTTGGAAAATTATGTTTCACAGTAAATAGTAACAAAAGGAGTTGAAAACTTGATTACCATCAGGATTTTTTGAAGAAACTCAAACACACTTTCAGACAAACTTTCTTTCATAAACTGGAGTACATGACAGTGCCCTGTGTGCAGGACTTCAGTCTATTAATGCATAATTTAACCACATTCACAGCAGATTTCCCCCATTATTATTCTATGGATACATAAAGGCCAGATTTTGACCTTGTGGCTATCTGGTGGAGAGTACCAAATAGTCATTAAACAAGAAAAGAAAAGCCAATTAACCACAACTGAAAAACTACTCTGAATGTAGTCTATTAATCTCTATTAAAATATATTTACACTCACAGGATCACATTGGAGCGTAATGCAGTTGGTGATAAAAACCTACAATACACTAGATGTGGGTATGAGAAATTAACTAGTAATGCACCTGGGACTTGAAATGTACATTTTTGAACCTTTTCATATTGACTTTGGTTTAAAAACAAATTAAGAGGTCTGGATTTTTTTTTTACATAATTATTACAATCCATTAAATGTCTTTAAATAAGGCAACGTTCATTACAAGGTACCACACTGCAATTCATTATGAATTAACGTTTGTGTGACACCACCCAATGAAATATTTCAGTTTAAAAATCTAGTTTTCCATTGTGAAAACCAGGATGCAGTCCCTGTTCAAGTTTGAACATATATATCTCAAGTTTAGGCATGCATACAAACCACTGTTGTGTATTTTAAGTTGTCAAATAAAATATCTTGTCTAGGAAGGATAAGGAAAGAGAACACAGCATTTGCAAACTCAAATCCCATGAGGTATATACTAGAAGACTGTGCGAACAGACAACATATTTTTGGAAAACCCCTAAAATGCCATTTTAGTGAAAATGGCAGAAGTAAGGCAAATATTTTGAAGAAGTATAACTGATCAAGTGATGCATGTGAGGAATTCAATAAATTCAGTGCTAAAAACAAAAGTCATTCTGGTTTTAACAGTGCATGTGGTTATTATCTGTTGGGATGTGCTTCAGACGCATCACAGACATGTTACAGTGTATTCTATCAAAGTGTGTTATTATAATCATATCAGAAAGGACTCTAAGAAAGAAACAACGGCATTTAAAAGAGAGTGTGTGTTTTGGCATCTGTCACCCAGTTTTATTTTTAACTGTAAGGATGGGTTGTTGTTTACATAAGCTTAAAGGTGATCCAGTTAGTTGTAGCTAAATATTCCAGACAAATAAAAACTGCCCAAGTCTCTGATCCAGAGGAGCAGATGTCCAATATGTGTCAAATGAACTAAACTAAACTAAATGAGGAAAATGATTCAAGAAAAATCAATCCCTAATTATAGTTCAAGTCTCTTCCACAAGTCAACCAATTTGAAACACATCATGCTCTTATATTTAATAGATTTACAGTGTAACATACTTACGATGCATCTTAATGGGCAACACCCCTCATGTAAACTGCAATATTATTTCTTGTGTTATGCAGTGCTTATGCTGTAAAGGAGAAACGCCTGAGACGGCATACATCAAGTAGTTTAAAACCCTCGTGAATTAATTATTAGTTAAATCGTTGTTTTAAATGAGTCATTGCTATCTGTGCTGAGTATGTGAGGATGAAATGGAGTGCTCCTAGTGAGATCAATTGGTATATCCGGGCTGTCTATGTTAGCGGTGAATGGATGGCTGGTACCCTGCAGCATTATCTGATGCCTTGTTTCTATTTCAGTCATGTAAGCCTCGCTGAGCGCAGCCTCAAAATCGCAGCACAATTAATTGATTCCTCTATGGTTTTGATTTTCTCTTCCTGTGCCAGCTAATACATTGGCAAGTACAGCACTGCAGGATCATTTCTGACCTCTGTAACCCCACACATGCATCCAAAGGCCTAATACCTACACATTAAATCACCAAAAAATTACTATGTGCTGACCTGGCCGATACACATGTCACTCAGCCCAAGCCGTATTTCTAAAGTTCATTTAAGTCCCTGTACAACACAACAGCTTACAATAAGGCAAAAAACCAAAGCTATGCAATTAGTTAGACTAAACAATGTTCAGAGAGAAGAGTTACTGTATGTTTTAAACTGTTTACCATGAAGATACATTAGAAAAATAATATATTTACTTCTCCTCAGCTTTTCAATCTCTAAAATATAGACATGTTTCTGAGACAGACTTTCTAGAACACCTCAGAGCTCAGGTTGGCTGTGATTGGGGTGATGTTTCTGTCATTCTAAGGTTCTCTGAGAGCAACAAAGTATGTGGAAGGGTAACAGTTTAAGGTCCAACATTACAAGAACGAACTAAATGCATTTCATTATCCCTAAAGAAGAAGCACTATGGTTTAAATAACAGTTCTTGGCCCACTCAGGTTGCTGGATGGAAATCACCTCCACATCCACACAAAAAAAAACAGAAAGTGAAGGAAGTAATCTTTACTTTTTTTCCTATATTTTGTAGTTAATATTAAGTCTTAATGAAGCATGTCTTTTAGACTCTCTCTCAACCCTGTGCAGCTCCAGCCACACTTCTACCACCTGATGGAGCAGCCGCCTTAAGCTTCCTCCGGCGCAGCGGGCCTCTTCAGGTCCCGGATCTGCTTAACCAGATAGTTCTTCTCATCGCAGAACTGCTCATCCTCTGATCTGTCAGTCTGGAAGTGGCTCAGGAACTCCACCAGTTTGGCCTGGTTCTTCAGCAGTATGTCCAGCACGGGCTGAGTCTTGTTGGGGTTTGCAACGAATACCTTTTTTAAAAAAAAGAGTGAGATTATGTGAACTGAGAATTTATCCTAAAATCAGCAATTCACAGTACAGCTCAAATTACTCAACAGTAAATTGTTGCACTGATGATTTATGTGCACACCTTGAAGACATGGAAGGCTTCAAACTGGATGTTTCGGCTGTTGTCTCTTAGCATGTTCATCATCAGCTTCAGGTTTTCTGCCCGACTGATGTATTTTGTCATGACAGTGAAGTTGTGTCTATCCAGGAGAAGTTCCCCAAGGAGCTGAGAAATAGTGTATGATTAAATGAATGAATGCACAATCAGCTGAAGAAAGTGAGGATGTCTGTTACACTTGAATCTGTTGCTCAAAGAAAAGTCTAACAGCAATTTTGAGCGCAGCTGAGCTTTTACCTTCAAAGACTGGCGTTTGGTGACGTAGTTGTCAGAATGCAGGAGCTTCTCGTATTCTGTAAACACCTGATAGACATTTTAAAAGCATGTTAGGCACAGCATGCGCATTCTTACAATTACAGATTAAAATCGACACGAGAAAGCTCACCCTGTCGTAATTGTTCTCCAGGAAATCTGCACACATAATCTTGTGTCTTGTGAGAAGATCCTGAGAGGGAACAGAAGAGACCAAGATATTAGATAAGAAGTGTTAGCAGGAAGATGCTGGAAATAGAAAGAAAATACGGCAGTGTACCTTGAATGAGGCGAAAGCGTCCGAGGCGATGTCAAAGGTTGAGAGCTCCACGTAACGGAAGAAGCTGTAGAAGTCCTCAGAGAAGAGCACCGTCCGTGCTAAAGGCTCGTGGCGCAGACACTCTCTCAGCATCATCCCACAGTTCAGAGCCACTTCTATACTCTCATATCTGTACAGGTTAACACAGCAGGTCATTTATAGCCTTTTGTAATCAGAAAAACTTTGATTCCTGGAGGGGGGGATTTGTTTGTTAGAGTTGTTCTACTCACACATGGTAAAGAATAGTTATTATAATTAGATTACAATAGATCATTTATGATAATAAAACAAACACTGTGGATGTAACACAAACAAAAACAGCAAATAAAGTGATTTAAAAAGGAGAATACGTTCCAAAATACTGTTAATCTGCACCGCACGGTGGCTGCCCACTGCTCCTAATACTTTGGATGGGTCACATGCAGAGAATTTCTCTACGGGGATCAATAAAATAACTTAAACTTAACTTTAATTTGTATTCATACTGAGAAACATTACATTTCAAGGGCTTATATTCCACGATGAAGTATTTTTTTTTGGCTGTGCCTGAAGATAGCCACCCAAGTGTAGACAATTTGCCACGCAGCTACAAGATTCATCTAACACGTCAGCGTTAAATGTCAGGTTTTGACGTCTGTCTCTGCACAAACCGAACCTCCTCTTTGTAGACGTGACATTTGGGAACAAAGTTTAAAAACATAGCAGGACGAATCCATCCTAGAAGTGGAGAAACTGGCAAAGATAAAAACAGCAGCCTCAAATTGAGCATGATGAAGAACAGCTGTAAGACATGTTGCTATTCGAATACACAGGATGACTCAGATTTTTAGGACTTAAAAATCTGGTTTATTATCGCTCTCTACATGTGTAGCGCCACAGGTAAACGCAACAAGTTCACGCTCGTTCCTCTGGGAGTTGTTCAAACACATACTGGGTAATGTAGAAAATCACGGGGCAAGATAATGTTTTTTTTTTAAATGTGACAACAAGAAGTTAATGTGGCTACAGTTTAAGAGGCTTGAATTGCCTTTATGTAACTTTTTTAACCATTACCCTCATATCAAAACACGTTTCAAACATTTCCTGCATGAAAAGATGAACTAACCCTTTCAGAAGCATGAAGAGGATCTCTGGGTGTGTAGAGATGTATTCTACCGTGGGCGTACGGGTGCCAATCTGACGTCTCACAATATTGCTGAACAAATGAACCACATCCTTCTTCCCCTGTGTGTTTAAAGAAAAAAAAAAAAAAAAAGCACTCAGAGTCGATTGAGAGGAGCTTTCTCACTGTCTCTGGCCAGGGGACACATTTTTCAGGGTGAAACGCAGTTTGGCACAACACCGGCAGGGAAAGACACTGTGCGTCTTTGTGCGCGGCCGGCGCGGCAGCTTCTCTGCGGTCAGCA